TTAGTAAGCTACTTTTTGAAGGAGGTCAAGAATAAATCCTTCCAGGAATTTCAATTAATGTATTTTAATTCTTTTGTATCTTGAAAATTAAAATATATCAGGATATAGACATATAATGTCCCTTCCCAGTATCCTATCCCTCCCATTTCTGAATATATGATCATGAACTGTAGAGGCAAATGTTAAAGTTTAGTAAGTGTGTGGTAACTACCTACCACAATTTACTCCTTAGATTTCTAGGTATTTCCTATCTAGATACTAGAACATTTTTATTAATTCAAGCTTTTACTATACCTATCACATACATGTTTCTGAACTACTAGCCTCACCTCACACAAAAAAGAAACCAGACTGAGAGAAAACATTTTTATCCAAAACACCACCAACAGCAGAAGATCAAGCAGTAAAGAATTCCAATAATTTTAGCAATTTATATAAAATAGAACACATTTATGCTAACTCGTCTTTATTAGCATGACCATGTGGTTCATTTCTACCCAAAGCAACATATGAAGAACTTGCATAAACAGTTTAAACAGGCTTTTCTTTTGTAATGGAATGAGGGAGAAAATAAGGATGTGGTTATGAACACTACTCACTCAGAGAAATGAGAAAGTAGCAACATTATATTTGCATTTTATGATCCTAAGCAAGCACTTTCCCTCACCTCTTCCCAGTGTAACACTTAAAAAGTGGCCTATCCCTCTCACTACATCTAAACCAGCATCAGAAAACAAACACGATCTGCCATAACGCTAAATGAGCCTTCCTTCCCTTCTAATAGCTGAATTTTTATAAGAAAATGGCAGAATTCAGCTGTTTTAACCGCTAATATTATCTACTGTGAAAATCCTACTAAAATGAATTTGAATAAACTAGTACAGTCCTCCCCTAAACAAACTCTAGAGGCAAATGTCCCCCTGCATCCTACATATTTCCTCCTATTACTTCTTTCAAGAATTATTTCCTGGGGACTTCCCTGGTGGCACAGTGGTTAAGAATCCACCTTCCAATGCAGGGGACACAGGTTCGAGCCCTAGTCCGGGAAGATCCCACATGCCACGGAGCAACTAAGCCCGTGCGCCACAACTACTGAGCCTGTGCTCTAGAGCCCAAGAGCCACAACTACTGAGCCCGTGTGTCACGACTACTGAAGCCCGTAAACCTGGAGCCCGTGCTCCACAACAAGAGAAACCGCTGCAATGAGAAGCCCGTGCACCACAACAAAGAGTAGCTCCCACTCGCTGCAACTAGAGAAAGCCCACACGCAGCAGCAAAGACCCAACACAGCCAAAAATTAAAATTAATTAATTTTTTTAAAAAAGAATTATTTCCTGATTAACTCTATGCTACTCAGTTTACTTTTTTGTTCTACATCTGCATACAATTCAAGTACTATTTACCTGCATAGTGCTTTGCAAAGGCCCATAATTTTGAAGAGTTTATGTTCCCTCAACAAAATTAGAAACTACTTAAGGAGAAAATTCACGTGTTCCAATTCTTTTTTTTTTTAATTTACTTTAAGTAATTTATTTTTGGCTGTGTTGGGTCTTCGTTACTGCATGCTGTCTTTTCTCTAGTAGCGGCGAGCGGGGCTACTCTTCGTTGCAGAGCATGGGCTCTAGGCTCATGGGCTTCAGTAGTTGTGGCACATAGGCTTAGCAGTTGTGGCCCACGGGCTCTAGAGCACAGGCTCAGTAGTTGTGGCGCACGAGCTTAGGTGCTCCACAGCATGTGGGATCTTCCCGGACCAGGGATCAAACCCGTGTTCCCTGCATTGGCAGGTGGATTCTTCTTCTTTTTTTTTTCTTTAAAATAGATCTTTATTGGAGTATAATTGTTTCACAGTACTGTGCTAGCCTCTGTTGCACAACAAAGCGAATCAGCCACGTGCATACACACGTCCCCACATTCCCTCCCTCCTGAGCCTCCCTCCCATTCTCCCTATCCCACCCCTCTAGGTCATCTCAAAGAACCGCGCCAATCTCCTTGTGCTATGCTGCTGCTTCCCACCAGCCAACTATTTTACATTCGGTAGTGTATATATGTGGATGCTACTCTCATTTCGCCCCAGCTTCGTCCTCCCACCCCATGTCCTCAAGTCCATTTTCTATGTCTATGTCTTTATTCCTGCCCCGCAACTAGGTTCATCAGTACATTTTTTTAATATATATTCCATATGTATGTGTTAGCATACGGTATTTGTTTTTCTGTGACTTACTTCACTCTGTATGACAGACTCTTGGTCTATCCACTTCACTACAAATAACTCAATTTCGTTTCTTTTTATGGCTGAGTAATATTCCATTGTACATATATGCCACATCTTCTTTACCCATTCATCTGGCGGGCAGATTCTTAACCACTGTGCCACCAGGGAAGACCCCTCCAATTCTTTTACACAAAGTTAAGTACACACAGGCAGCCTCAATACTTAAACAGTCAATTTACCCTCTGGAGACATGAAAAAGTTCCAAAGATAATGTCCTCATTCACAAAATAATTCAGATGCATCCCCATCGGTTCACTCATTCGTTCATCACACTTTGAGACAGCACCAGCTGTGCAAACTCTCTAGTCACTCCCCTGCTCAAAAATGCCCATGACTCCTCATTGCCTACCAAACATTCAAAACACAATTTCTCATACATTCACTTTCCAGGTTCTCCCAAACATTCTTCATGCCTTTGCGTACACTTCTATCCCCTCAGCAGGA